TTTTTTTCTCTTTTAATTCCACTTCAAAAGAAAAAAATTTCCGTACTTTTCTAAAAGAACTCTTCTTTCTTTATTTATTTATTCATTTATTCATACATTCATTCATTTATTTGGGGTTTTTTGTTAATATTTATTTATATATTCCTTTATTTATTCATTATTTTATTTATTCATTCATTCATGAGAGTTTTTATTTCTGGGATTTCGTAACGGAACGATTAATGTCTTTCCTTCCTTCTCTCCTCAGCTGACGCCTTTTTGCCCAAAGGAACACCGCAATCCGCTGGGAAGGTGGCAAACTTTGTCCTGTGACTCCCCCCCAGTATCCAGTGCCTTCATGTGTTCTACCCTCCCACGCTCCCTGCTCCCCTCCCCTTCCTCCCTTTTTCTCCCCCCACACACGTTGCCAAAAGCCCCCTTTGTGAAAAACTGATTCTCTCGAGAAACTGAGCCACTGTGTGTGTGTGTGTGTGGCTATCATTTATTCCTTCGCGATAAGTATTTGATTGAATTACGACAAATTGGTGTTATTTCTGGCGACAGTTCAAACTGAGAATGTTTGTGATATCTGACAGTGCTACATACGAGCTGTGAATCTGCATAATATGTTGTTATCCGTTTATTTATATTATTCCTGACAATGTTTGTGCACTAGATGCAGATGGAACAGGTTTGATGCGCCAGCAATCAACTAATTTTTGGTTACTAGCGTGTGTGTGCAAGCTTGTGTTTGTGCATTTTTTTTCTTCTTCTCGAGATGAAATACGTTTCATTTCGCTCATCATACTGGGCTGACTTTGTAGGGCGTAGGGTGCATTCTGTAAGGTCCGTGTGAGATCGTCGATGGACAATGAAGACTAAAAATGTGAGCTTGTATTTGGCAGCCTTTCCATCATTAAGTTTTCCGTGATTGCTGACTGTTAGATGGATGAAAAATTCTGTCGTTTTAAATGCGGAGGACAAGATGCAATACGGAGGAAACCTCAGGCTTCAAGCAACTGCACGTCTGTGATGTACCCCTGAGGAAAGTCTGGCGTCTTTTGAGAAGAAAAAAGGTAACGTATAAACCAAGCTTTCCTACCTCTGTTTGGTTAGTAAGAAGAAGATCAAGCAATGGCACTGAAATGTTAAGAGCTTGTTCATTGCTATTGTGATTGTTTTACATCGAGACAATTTAGTACAATTAGAAGGCAGACTATTTGGGCCTTGCCCGTCAGGATCAACTAAGCCAGATACAACGCCCAAGCAGACAGACTGAGACACTACAATTTTTTCCTTACACTTCCACCTTCTTTCCTGCTCTCTAACAATGTTCTGTCGTCTGCTCTCGTCTCCACTTTCCGCTCCCACCCCCTGACCCCCCTTGCCCCATCCTCTGGGCTCCTGTCTCTCTATTTCTCTCTCTCT